GCTAGGAAATAAAAATGGAAAACATTTTTTGCACACACCTTCAAAAAAAAAAACTTTTCTTCTAAAAAAATTGTAGATTATTCTCTTCATTGATTGATTGATCAGTTTGTCCATCCAATGTCCATCAAGAGGGGGACTAAAAATGACAGCTTCAACGTAACTTAGGCCTACTTGTTTTGTCAGCTCAAATGTTGAATTTGCAGCCATATAACGTTACAGTAAGTCATAAAGAAGTAGTAAAATCTGTATATTTTGGCTTAATCGATGATTGGTGGCTATTCATTTTCTGTTTGACAACACTAAATCTCCAAACAAATGTTAACACAGGACTCTGTGCCATTTATATGAGTGTTTGATGAAGATCTGATTGATAAACAGTCTGTTGGGAAACAAGTTAAAGTTTAGTCAGAAAAACAAACACACACAGCAAACACAGCCAGCATCCTGTCAAGTCACAAGATAGATTAGTCAAGTTGCAGCGCTTCACCACCAACCACGCACCAAGTACAAAACTTACATCTTAAGTTGAACGTTGATGTCCAAGTCACAGCTGTAGACATAGTTGAATTTATCAGTGTCCATCTTCCGACGGGGAAACACTAAAGTCTAACCAAAAACCTGACGGCTTCAACATGAAATCCCGGACGGTTATGTGACACTTTCTGCGACAAGGCCTCGGCTCGGCACAACAACACCTCCTCGGGACCCGGTTTAAACTACGGCACACACTGCTAGCTAGATCACACTATCACTCTGTATATACGTTTAAAGAGATAACTTTGAGTGCCTGTGTTCACGGTAAAGACATTATTTCAACGGCTGTCTCACCGGGCTTGATTTTATGTTTCTCGTAGCTAGACAACAACACAGCATCAGCCAAATCTACAGCCAGGCCAAAGCAGTCGATCCTCGATGCGATAGGATTGACGAAAGTGAGAAGGTGATCGTTGTATCGTGTTTTGATTTTTCGAGCCTGATGGGACCAAGCAGGAAGTGGAAAAGAGGCGGGGTTTACAGCATGCTTGTTAAAAGCAAGGCACTTAAATTGAGAATACTCTTTGTTAAAAGTAAACTTTATATATTCATGATTAGATGCACAGTCTAACCAGAGTGTCATGCTGACTAAAATTTATTACTAATTATAAATATACTAAATATTACTATAGGCCTATATGACAATAATATAGTATATGCATGTTTTGCACTAATAGGAATACTATATTTGTGGTAACGTGACCTTAGATTTAATATAGCTATTTAAAAAATGTTTATCCTGTTCTTAATGTATTTTGTGGACTGTTGCCAGAGCCATAACAAATGCTAATTGTAGAACTTTTTTGCCCATTTGATGAAACAATCCCTAAGTAAGGGTCACTTACTGTTTTTTCCCCTGGGGCTTTTAACAGTATCACACAGTCTTCTTTGGCATATTGAGTTTTTTTGTTTTTTAAATCTTTATATACAGAACAGAATACAAATATATAGAGAAATAAATTTGCCAGAAGTGGTCTATATTGTTATATACTGTATAATTAATACATTTATTATAAAGTACTTATTTTCTTTTCTTTGACTTTTATAAAAGCAAAATACCACATTCTCCCACATCAGTGCAAAATCTCTGTAAATGTGGTCAATGATGAATCTGCTGAAGTTTTGCCAGAATTTTCAGGTGTGTAAACAATGCCAAAAGAAGTGCAAAACACTGGCAGATTGAGTTTGCTTGCTGGGTTGTAATGGAGATCAAGGGGCTTTGACAGTATGAAATCAACTACTGAGCTTCCATGTCAAAAGATCAATCTGCTTGTGAAGACCATGAGATACTTTTTAAAGTCCTGGAAAAATCTAGTAAGCTGACCTTGAAGTCCTGTGTTAATGATGATGATGCAGAGGTAATTTATGCTCTAATGTAAAAGGTTTTCTCTCACCACTGCTAGATATATTTGCTGGAGTCTATTATGAGTCCTTATGAGGTAAGAACTGTTTATTTTTCCAAGTTTATAAAGTAAAATTGATCTTTCTATTTTACAGTTTATAACTTTTCTATATCCATATAGATTTTGTCCATACATTCATGGGGTAAATAATTGTTTACAATTCTTATGAAGTAATGTAGTTGTATAAACATTACAACAACAACATTACATTACGTGAAAAATAAAAAAATAAAAAAAATAACCATACTGTACCGAGTGTAGTTACAGATGTCAATCAAACTGTGACATTGGAACATTTCGAGCACTATTTAAAAATTGTATTTATGGCTTTATTTGACTTTATTTCTTTATTTTGTGGTGATGTTGTTAGAGCCCTCGCATATGATGTTTGCAAAGCAACATTGTTTTTGCTGCAGCTGTACATTTGGTGTTTTATAGGTCCAAATCAGATGGGACTTTCTGTATTCTGCAATTTATTAATGGGCAATTAATACTTCTACTAATAACAAATCATATATGTTTATGGTATCAGAGAGATACAATACCCTTTCTCTACTAAAATGAAAGAAAGACAGTGTGGATAAAATGATGCACAACATTTAAGGTAATGTAAAACTATAGTTAGGCGTGCTCTTGAAAATTGCATTGTATGTTTATTTGTGATTCATTCTTTGCTGCAATGAACACACAGAAACATGTAAATTAATTATGTCAAAGCAAATACATTCTGTAACATTTTTACAAAATGACTTTAATAGCCTCTTAGGGTTCAGTTTGTTTAGTTGGAAGATTTACTATTAAGAAGTCCCAACAAACAGCAGTCCTCTTATTCAAGATAAAAGATACCAAACATGATGACAGCCCTTCGAACTTTCAAACAGAAAGTTCTCCCCAATAAAAGTGCACTTGCCACCAATGAAGTGCATATCCGTGAAGGACAACAGGCGTGTGACAGGAAAATCCTCATCTTTTGTTTTGGTGAGGTCCTCCCTTTTCATCAATGCTGACGACAACTGGTTGTCAAATCCGGGTGTGAACTCCTCGTCAGCGGATTGTAAGGGACACATACAAGAGGTCAGCACCACCCGAGTTGAACTTATGGAAGAACATCTGCCATTAAAACACGTTCCCTCCTCTGAAATAGCATCTGAATAATATCAGTAACATGTCTGTATAATGATTGTATTTATGACAACAGTATTGGAACTGCAACACGTCTTCATAAAAAACAAGGTACAGCTTGAGAGAGGCAACTGTGAGTCATCTGAATGAAGAAGCACTCCTGACTGATGAGGGAGACCTATCAACACTCTACCAGAGAAAAGGCCCGTAAAACACCATGTTATGAGGCCCCGGGGCCTCCTGTGAGAGAATTTTCCCCATGAACTCGCACCTTAGACTGCAGTTAGCAAACAACTGGAAGAAGATGAGCTAATGTGTTGTTGGCCGAGGCAGCGATACTACGCTGCATTGTCAGGTCGGATCACATTTTATAAATTTGACTTTACTTTTTTTATGTACAGGCTAGAGCTAGAGGCTTTTTGGGGATGATACTGAACTCAAGGGTTTACTGTATATTCTTGGCCAAATTATGTACACACACATATACAATATGTTCACACACAACAGTCTGTACACATACACTTATATGTATTGCTGCTGCAGGGACCTGCTGTAACCTCTGACCCTGTCTACCTCATATTAATGATGTCATTAACTCCAGTCTGTGACTTCATGGGGTCCCATCCAATCCCAAAGGACTAATGGACATGCGGAGTGTCAGGGAAGAAGAAATGTGTAAAGATCTATTAAACTATATATATTAAATATTTAACCTCTTTAGACCAACTGATGTCAGGGAATCAATATTATCAGCCACAGTATTGGCTTAATTGCAAAGAAAAAAAAAGGGTGATTTAGAGAAAGGGTCACTATTACACAGTTTGATCAGAAGTAAATCAAAAGATCTTTTAAACGAAAAGTTATTAAGGGTTTGTAAAAGCAATACGGAGGTAATGTGGCAGACGGTTTCTGGGCTCTGAGCTGCCAAGCAATCAACGGAGACTCCACTATGTTGTCCCGCCCATAGTGTAGCGTAGAAGTAGTCCAGCACGGGACGCCCCGCAAATAGGCAAACTGTGGTTTTTACACTTTGGTTTTTGTCTGAATTAACCAAAAGAGATATGATATTTTAATAAATGAACTGTAGAGAGATGCTGGAAGGCATATTTTTCTAGCTTTGCACAGAGCAGGGCTAGCTGTCTACTCCTGTTTCCAGTCCAGTTTGTGCTAAGCTAAGCTAACTGGCAGCTAGCTCCAGTGTCATATCTACTGTACAAACACAAGAGTTTATTGATCTTATTATCTACTTCTGGGCATGAAGGTGAATGAGCTTATTTTGCAAAATGTTAAACTATTTTTTTAAGAATAAATTTGACAAAAAGTTCTTATCACAAGGTCCAAGAGCTTTCAGCAATGTCTCACATCAAAACATAAATTAAAGAGTGGCGAAACATCAAACGCAGATGCTTCTGTGCACCAGGGCTAACTGAATCATTTAGTAAGTATGAAAGTGATGTGAATAAAATGCTATGGCCATTACAGTCACCAGATGTCAACCCAGTTTCACACTTATGAAGAGTCTGGACCAACGTGTAAGACCATGCTCTACACCCACCATCACTATATAGCCAAATGGAACAATATAAACTTTCATTTTCAAATCTATTTAGTGATGTCTCTGATGTTACATGTCCTTTTGTTAGGTTTGGCTGTGTTTATCTATCTATCTGTCTGTCTGTCTGTCTGTCTGTCTGTCACTGATGTTCATCCATCCAATAGTTCCACAGTCTTGGCAAGGAGCACTGAAGCTGTTCTGCAGGCTCCATACTGAGACACTTCAGGTTGGCTCACCATGAGCCGTCAGAGCAGATTCAGTGCTCCTGCTCATAGATTCGTACAATCCATCTGCTATAGGTGTTCAACTGGGGTCGTAGCATTTGATTTATATTATTTTCATCAAACCATGCAGTGACTCCTTTTATGGAAGCATCTGCTTATGATGTTTCTCCACTAGTTTACATCCCTTTGAGTATTTGAAGTGACTTAATTGGATTTATTCATTCGATCAGTATGTGTTACTCACATCTCCAGTTTCTGGACAGCGACCTGGGCGACAAAAGTAAATGAGAGGTTCAATGGTGATGAATCATATTTGATAATTCCATCCCATCCCTCTTTCTCTCCCCTCTCCTCCTCCTCCTCTCCTTGGACGTCACCTCTCTCTCTCCCTGCCCTCCATCAAACCTCTCTCCTAATCTTCCCTCTCTTAGTCACCACATGGATGTGTCATTGTTTCTATCATTTTAGTGGTTCATGCCCGCTGAAGCGCAGCGAGGTGATCTCCGGAGTGCCAAAACAGCGCCAAGATACAAGATCCGTGTTCTCTTCACACACAAACCACCACCTCCTCATTCCCCAATGGATGGCACCGCCGACACCTTCTACAGCCAGGCCTGTGGGCCACATGACGGTGCTGACCACACCTCCACGCCACGGCCGTAAAGCCTCGGGATGTATAAATAAGGGAGCAAAGGGAGGCGAGGAAGCAGAGGCTGACCAGACCAGATGAAGATGGAACTCGCCGTGGTAAACTGGGTGCTTGCAGCTGCAGGGTTTCTTCTGTTGACCAGTGGTGGGTCTGCTGCACCCATGGAGTGCCACTTCAACTCCAGAGGTGAGATCCCATCCTTTAAAATCTCATAGAGCATCTGGACTATTTTTTAAAAAGAAAGAAAAGCAGCATGTTTCTGAGTTCATTCTTTACTGCCATGTGTTGTTCCAGCACTGTGTGTGTTCGAGGGGAGACAGTACTCACTGGGTGAGACCTGGATGGACAACGCTTGTATGCAGTGCACCTGTCTGCACCCTGTCGGCGTCGGTTGCTGCGAGACGTGAGTACACAAACAACCTGTGGGGTTTGGTGTCCAGATGCCCACAGTTACTGTCCTGCAGCTAGCTTCAGGGAGACTGAACAAAGTACTTAAAGTTACTTCATAGTGGTGGCTCTAAATTGTTGTCTTCAACATTTGTATTCAGGTTTTTTACTTTTTTTACTTTAAGCTAAGAGTCTTTTGCAAGTCCTGCATTCAAAGTTTTACTTTAGGTACCAATAGCAAATTGAACCAAAAAGTATCAAAGTAAAGTCATGATGCATTTTATTTTATTACTGATGTAAACAGCAGTTTAATGTTATTGCAGTGGAACAATTTGATACATTGTTATAATAATATATCACATTTTATACTAACATTTTAGAAAATATTATATAAGATGATCATATGCTTATATGTAAAATCCTGATATGCAGTGTAACTATAATGTATAAGAGTATAAAATAACTTAAAATGGAAGTACTCATGTATGGTACAAGTACCTCAAAACTCTACTTAAGTACAGCGCCTGAGTACATGTACATAGTTACTTTTCACCACTTGCATTAAGAGCTCGAGAATATTTTGTACACTTTTATTCAGGCCCTTTTCTTGAAAGTCAACACTTGACTGTTTTGTAAGATCAACACCAAAGCCTGCAACCTCCGGTGATGGTTGTTTATTTTCATAAACATCACTTTGGCACTGCTGAACCAGCAAAAGAGTCAAACTGTGTTGGGAGTTTACAGTCCACATTACAAAGAAGGAAGCGGAGAGTTCAAGGAAAACCGTCTTCTTTTCTCCTTTACCTCAACAACTGTCCAGGGTGCATCGGCCGGTGGATTTCCCTGCGTGGTGTGAGGTGCGGGTGGAGCCAGTGACCTGCCAAGTGGTCCTGGTCCAGAGAGCTGACCCACGCCTGCCCTGCTCCCCAGGTGAGGACATCAAGGACCCCAGCCACGGATCGCTTCAGCTGCAGCAACAGCTCGACGGGTAGAAACCTGCTCAGACCAGCGACTATCTGTTCAGTCTGTTTGCCTGTGAAACCAGTACCCACTCTAGTTAAATATCAGTAACCATTTTATACACATACTGTACGAATATAAAGCTTTAACAGCATCTGTACTTTTTGGATTGTGTAATCAATGAAGGAAATGTGAGTGAAATCTGTCTGTGAAACTATATTTAAGGAAAACTGCAGTATTTTCCAGCAGAGAACTTTTTGAGCACCAAATGGTGTAATCTGTTAACACGTTTGGGCATCAATCTTCTGTAGACAAAACATCATTTCCATTATGTGTTTGATATTAATTATAGTAAGCAGTTTGTTATACAGGTGGTTTGGGGAGTTTTTCATGTTAAACATCCTGCACATCTAGACAGTTAGAGGCTTCTTTCTTCAATGTATTTGGGAAGATTATATTCAGCAAAATGCCAAATTTCTTTAACTAATCCAATAATGACTTATTGTAAATATAAGCAAATAAATACGTACATTAATATATAAAAGGATTCTTGTTGAATTTGACCTGTTCTCTGCTGTAACTCAATTACCCTCCAAATAAAAATCCTGAGAAATGACTTTGTGAAGTAATGAATGACTTCCTCACGGGTAATTTATCAAATTTAAATCACACTTTTAATTCATTTTTCTCTTGTAGTATTTACATCTCAGTACAACATTTGCTCAAGCTGAAAGAAAAACAGTTAAACAGTAAAAAATATATTGAATAATAAACAGTTTGAAATGAGAACAAGTGTGCGTCAAAAATTACACAAATACATAAACGCACAGTAACCGCAGAGATAGTTTCACTTCAGGAGCTCATAGTTTGTAGATCTTTCAAAAAGGGAGCTGCATTTAGATGCGCTGCAAAATGAATATGAAAAAGTCAAAACATCAGCTGCATACTTTACATATGGAATCCATCACTGGCTCTGAATATACAATAGACAACGCTCCTTTGTTCCTGAAATGTGCACCTCTGTGTTAACATCTCTTATCTGGAAAGAAGTCTCTCTCTCTCCTCCTGATTCCTCACGTTCACAATCTTACACAGGCACAACAGTCAAATATTAATGCTGTTGGTCCCCGTAAAGTGGGACATGTAGGATGCCAAAGCCGGATTAGTGGGCAGGACTTTGATTGGCAGATCCCAGCTGAAGGTATCCACGTCGACATGCTCCGCCCCAGCCCAAACTGTGACCTCTGACTGGTTCTGCAGAACTGTGGGCGGTTCCATGGGCTCCCGGGCAGTGACGAATTCAAAGTGCAGGCGCCACCTCAGGATCACTGTACAAGCAGATGTGTGATAAACAACAAGTCTGACATTATCCTGCATATTATGGAGCTTGACACTCTAAATCAGTGGTTCTCAAAGTGGGGTCCCCAGCAAAAAGGCGAATAATTTATCTGTGTTATAATTCCATCCATATTTAACACAGTGAGTGAATGTATGACTATTATGGTCACAGGGTTCATACACTTTTTGGAATAACATCTAAAAGAAGAAATCCTTTCAGATGGGGGACCCTGGGACAAAATCTTATCAGTGGGGGTCAGTGGTCTAATTTGAGTCACTTTAATGTTAATGTGAAATGTTCTAAAATCGGGGGTTTTAAAGTCTAACAAAATGTTAATTACAGTGTGCAGTGTACCCATGGATGTTCGACTGTTCCTGGATTACTTTGAAACTGAAAAAAAAAAAAATCTGTTCAAGATTCAAGTTCTGGTAATGTAAGAAGCATTTTTGCTCTGATTTCTAAGTGGATTTATGAACATTTATTCAGGATGGACATCAGAGATAATGATATCCTTGTGTAGTGTAAGTTACATTGAATCTAAAAATATGTGTATGTATACTAGTGGTAAAAAAGTGCACAGGGTACCTTCATCTAAAGTTGGACATGCGGAACAAATTTGCCTCTGATATTTGCGTGTGTAAATTGTTCCATATTAGACGTGTGAATGATTTCTGTTAACACTCTAACAGCTGCCCAGCACGTCAAAGCAATCCAAAACATATAAAAGGACAAAAGCACAGAAAAAGCCTTCTGCTGACTGACCTATGTCTGTGCTGAAACCCGGGGTGACGTTGAGGGGGATGGGGAGAGAGAAGTGGCTGGAGGCGGTGTGGAGGCACGACTCCAGGTGTCGTCCGTGTCCAGTCACACTGACAGCCTGTCCGGGACGCCGCTGGTACTGCTGCTGGATCTCCTCCTCATTCTGAAGACTCACTGAATACTGAAAACAGAATCAGAAAGCTTTATTGTCATTGAACATAGTACAACAAGATTTGAGTGCAGCTCCCCTCAATGTACATAGATAAGATAAAAAGACATGCGGGTAATAATAAATAATTGACAGAAATTCACATAAATGGTTAAAAACTGGAATCAGCAGGAGTAAAGGATATTGCACAGTCCACGTATCAAAACAAATATTGCACAGTTAATATAATATATAATAATAAACTCTAAAAATATTGCACAAATTCCAGTGGCCATCATAGAACTCAGCCATGACACTGAGTACTGTTCAAGTTATTTTATGGCTTGTGGAAAGTAACACACACACATACACACAGGATGTCATAATTTACACTTGGATTAAAGAGGAAAAACTAATGTTGGACAAAAACAACAAAGACAAACACACCTGCAAGCAGGGAATGTCTCCCTCTGAGAAGTTGAATGTGCCGATGATGTCCTCCCCGAGTCTGTAAACGGTCTTGAAGATGCAGAACTTTGCTACTTTCCCACGCACATTGGTGATATTAAACATGTCTGGACAAAACAAAGAAACACGGGTCAAATGTGGACTTCCAACTAAACAAAGAGTGGAAATTATAATCCAGAAAAAACAGTACTAGTATTATTTAAGAGTTATAGAGCATTTGCTTAACTTCTGTAGTTTACATTTCTGTATAAAATTACTTTTTTTTTTTTTTTTACTTTTGTCATCCATTTGAGTACATGTTCATATGATATGTCTACATGACAAATCTAGCTTCAATTAGCTGCTCTATTGGTTAACAAAGGCAAACCTATTGATGACATGGATGCAACAATTAAGCTTGTGAGGAAATACAGTTTTATTTGTTGCAATAAACTTCATGTGGATGGAAGAGTGTACAATTTCACACAATAAAATTGTAATAATAATAATTTTGACAAAAGCAGAATAAGGCATTGTGTTTAAAAAAAAGCAACTAGAGTGAGATAATCCAATGCTTTAAACTGCTGCAAAGACCAGAAAGACAGAGAATGCAACTCACGGGGGCAGCGTCTTGAGGTGGTGACCATCAGCATGTCCAGTGCTCTCTCCAAAGGCCGAGCATCCCTGCGGCTCGCTTCCTCTTCCTCCAGGAACGGGTTAGAGGGAGAAACCTCCTCATCCTGGGGAAATGGAGGCTCTGGCATTCCTACAGGACGTCACAAAAACGTGACTCTAATTTTTGAACTTCTATTTTCTAAGCAAAAACACTAACTAAACTGTCTTTATATCCACAGTCCAAAGAGAAAATCACAAAATAAACTGGTCTCCTTCCACTAACAACAAAAACATTTCTAGGGTGTTGCCTGCTTAAGTGGCTAGAAGAAAACTTAATATTCACATCAATTTTTCCAGCATTTATCTGATTGTTGCTCTCGTTTTCCTCATTGTGTTCTTCATCATGTTAAAGCAGAAATAAACATTTTACCACTTTAGTGGTTTCAAACTGACACACTTCATTAACACTGGAAGCTTTGCAGTGCTAAAAAATAAACACAACTGAAACTAAGTAGTGAAAATTCATCTAACCTTGCAGAACCAGGACTCTGAAGGGAACTCGGAGTAGTTTGATAGGAGAGTTGACTCTCTGGCAGCCGATGGTCAGTTTGTAGACGTACTTCACCGCCTGACCTCGGAAACTAGGAGGACCATCTATGGGCACGATTTCACTGTATGAATCTGTGGGAGAGTGAGTATGCATGTCAGACTGTTTCAAACAAACAAATGTTATTTATAAATGTTGCATGGCCATTTGGGAAACAATACTAGACAGGAAACATTTAAAATCATTGTAATGTAAAGGTGTTGTCATTTAGACAAGCAAACACTGTGGTTTTCATTTCCTTTTTAAAGTTGTTTCAGTAAGTCACAGTTTTATCCACACATTAAGAGTAGATTTCACTTATTTAACTTATACTTTGAATTTTTATGGATCTAAACTTTACATTCACATATGTACACACATACAGGTTTTGCTTTCCCCGGGGTCCAGGCGCAGGTCACAAAATAATATCTTAGGTGGTGTGTCCAGCACACACTGCCCTCGCTCTCCTGTAGAAGAAAGGATTAGTGTTAAGGAGGTTCGGGGCATATCACACATAAGGCTATTATAACAAAGCTAATAATATCCATAACCTCTTACATTTTTGTCTGAAGACATGTTGTATTGTGATTTGTTTATCTAAAAACATAAATACTTCATGTAAATGTACTTTTGTTTTGCTTTATTTGTCAGGACAGTTGTGAGACAGGAAAGGCAGGGAATAGAAAGGGGATGACATGCAGCAAATGGCCTCCAGCTCAGCCTCAACACGCTGTTTATACAGCAATGATTTTCATTTCTGCTAATCGCAGATCTTTTCCTGCCCTCACTAACCTCTGCTTGGAATAAGCACAGTGTCGCTCTCAGCCTGGACATCCTGTTTGTTGCCCTGGGCCGGTAGAGCCACTCTGCTTTCACTGGCATGAAACTGGCAGTGGATCTGAGCACTGGCCCATGCCAGCATCTCACTGAGTCAGAAAAAAAGGGTTACGCAAGAACATTTACAGAGTGATTGGTTGATTGATTTAAGTGTGATGCATCAGTAAATGGTAAGTGGCCATAGACAACAACCAAGTTGATTGTGTAAAACAAATGATGTACAGATGCACAAATTCTAAAAGGAAACATTTGAAACGGTCCCATATACATAGCAGAAATGTTCTGGTATGAAATGTACAGTTTAATCAGTCTAGCCACCACAAAAGCCAGCATAACATATCAATACAGACAACTAAAGCATATCAGGATTCTTTGACAGATCGTTTCCCCAAATAGTGGATTCCTCAGATCTTTGTACTTCATAATCAACAATACTAAGATCACAGAAAAAAATAAAATAAAAAAACTGTGTTTCAGGGATACCTTAATATTTATTTGGCAATTGGCAGTCGTAAGGTACCAGTCTTGTTTGAGCACACTAAGGCCTTTGGCTTCTTCTTATATTTAATATATGGTTCTGTGTGGTAATCTTAGCTTATTCAAGATATCCTCCTTCAAGTGTTTCCTTTCAAATAGTTTGTTTGTTTTGGCAATGTTTATAGTAACGTTACACTACAGAGACAGAAAGTGGCATCTTCATGTCTATGTTCTGGTCTATGATCGGTGAAGAACTGGTGTCAGGAGCTAAATCGTAGCTGTTACCTGCTGGCAGATGTGGAGAGGTGAGACATCGGGTTGGTGAATGTTATGAGACACTCCATGAGCTCGCCGGCGAGAAACACGGGACCTCGGGCCATGGAGGCCACCACCTCGATCATCTGTAACGTTAGAAAACCACAGTGCCACGTTACTACATTAAATAACCGATTACTAACACGCAGAACAAAATGCACTCCGACACACTTTGTTTCATTACTCCTGCAAGATAATACTAATTAAAGTTACAGTTCTGCATAAACATACCGCTACAGGCCGCTCAAGACAGAAGTTGACTTGTTTGGTTCTGCCTGCTAATGGCTGCTGTTTTAACTTACACATACCTTGGCTTTTGACGATACAGCAGCAACACAATTACGTCGTCTTATCCAAAGGCGCACATGAATTTACTTCTCGAATAAAACAATGCAATACATGCTGTCTTTCTTGAAGAAGTAGGCATATCTTATTTAGTTAGCTAGCATTACAGCTAAAGGTAAACAAAAAAATGTATTTGTGACTTAGCATATCTGCTGCTGTACGACCAATCACGAACAAGGGGAATGAAAAAACTTCTAAAGAATAAAAGCATATATCATAAAAAATAAAATTTCCTTTAGTATATGTTCTGTTTAATGTCCTGCAGGCATCGCAATCTTAATTAAACATATGTTTTTAAAGAATAAAGTCAGAGAAGAATCTCGGTAAAGTTTTTGGCTGGCCATTTAGAAAGACGTAACGTAGCACACTCAAACGAGAGGTGGGCTGTTGCCATGGTAACTGGTAGAGGGAGGAGTTAAGTTTAATATTTACAAAAAAACTGACGCACGTTAACACCACGTACTCTACTGACGTAGTAGCCCCTTTTGTCAAACTTTTATAACTTGTGTGCTTATCAAAATGTGCCGACGGCGGCTTCCAACTAGAGTGGAAATGAATAAATGGGATTAATTTAATCCCCCCCCCCCTTCACTGCAAATGGTACGGTCGCAGCAGCAGTTTGACAACTTTTTATCCCTGAGTCAGGCTTTAAAGGCATCATTTACATTCAGGCAGTTTACTGAATTTGACGCCATTAAACTCGAACAACAATTAGCTACTCTTATTTTACTTAAAGTCGCTAGGTTTGTAGCTTTGCTTTGGTTTTATATCTACTAATTGTGTAAAAGCAGGTGGTATTAGGCAGCCTGACATACATTGTTACCTGAGAGACATAGATGAGGGCTATAACTTTTTTTAAATCAGTAACAAATGTTAAAAATTTCCATATTGAGCGCCGGGCTAGCAGCAGCTACAGGGGGTTGGCAGAGGTCGCTTTGGAGCAGCAGCAGCAGCAGCAGCAGCAGCAGCAGCAGCAGGATGACACTATCACTCCGGTATTAATAAATATGTATCTATTATTTCCTCTTGTGTATAGTTTAGCAAGTAAACGTAACCGCTGTTCCGTGTCTTTCCAGTGAATGTGGTTTTAGCTAGAGTTACACAATGAATGTTCAAAGTGGTCTAATGTGATCAGTTTGCGGCTTTGCAGCTAACGTTAACCACCGGTGACTGAGATGCTTGCTCGATGTCGGCCCTCTTACATATACGCCAGATAAATGTCGCCACTTTTTAACGATCTCGTTTTATCCTGTTTGATCTCATTGCAGGTATCCCCTCTAAATGACTGAGATCGGCAACCTCAATGCTTGTTGTTGCTCTTGAACTGTTAGCTGTCATCCATCCATCCATTGATCCAGCCACCGCTGCTGACAACGCAGCCACGTCCGGACTCAGCGCAAAGGGGGTGCTAGTCTGCTAGCTCTAAAAAAACAGGAATCGAGAGGGGGATCGTGAACCACACTGCTGCAAACAGTCCCAAAGGATATGAACTTCCTGAGATGTAACTTAGAGGCTAACTGCTCTTGTGGACAGTAAAAACCTTATAATGGTAGAAGCACCTCCTACCTGAAGGAACAATTGTTTACCCCTCAGTTCCTGTCCTACAGGAATTCAGAGCTAGCCAGTTGAGAACCGGTTTACCCCACATGAATGACTACTTAATACTGACTTTGCGTTACTTATCCACTCTGTAGCTGCCTCCTCTGTGGTTTTTGCCCCCACAAAGAACTACCTTTGTTGACAAAAGGTGGTGACAACTCCCTATTTGTAATCAGTTTCCTGCTCACACTCACTGTCATCTCCCTATTGCTGGACATCCTGCTAAAATGACTGCAGAGTGGGGTGAGAAATCCTCAGCGGACCTCATGAGTAGGTATGTCTCCAAGGACATGGGATACAGAGTGCCCAAGGAGGGTTGGCGCATCTGTCTGGCACATGAGTTCAAAGAGAAGAGAAAGCCCTTCCAAGCAAAAGATGTCTCGCTGTCCAACGTCTTGGAGCACGTTGGCCTTGGAATCAGGTGAGATGTTCACTCTCTGGCTCTCCTCTTAATGTGCAAACAATACAGATGCACCCTGTTTACATGCAGTAGACTGTGAAGAGCTGATTCATACAGTGATTATGTTTATATATCACTTTTCAATGAATTTCCAGCCATTACGAGGATATGCAGATAAAGGAGAGACAAGGTCCACACCCAGTTTTCTCGTTTGTTATACAGACATCAAATATTTGCTCTGTGATCGATGAAATTCTCAACCAACAGATATTTGGCATTGAAAAATAAACATTGATTCAACAAAAGTAAATGTTATTCTTTTACTTTTTGAACACTCCGGTTTTCTCCTTTTGATGCCTGCAGTTATTAGTTCATAGCAACCTCTAGTCTACACCATTTAACCCATGCTTCCAAGGTACAGTATCTGGAGTGGCCAGAACGGAGGAACAGGTGTGAATTGAAACCCTGCAATGGCTAAAGAAAAAAAGGTGTCGCTGTGTTTATTTGTTTTGTGTCTGTGTGTACAGACAAGAGGAGCACCTTTAAACAGTCGATTAAGGGAGTGAAAGTTCCTTTTGCATGGTCTGCCACAAGTGCAGTTGATGGATAGTTCTTGGTGTTTCCTTTGTATTGTCTCACCAGCAAATTAGACCGTTCACAAAGCGTTAAACAGTGTGTGAACTATGTCATAGCTTTCGGGGAGCTCACTTTTTCCCCCCTGGGACGGGGGAGGGGGGCAGACTGATTCTTACTACTGAATCATTAACCACTGCAAGCATGTAGGCCTGGGGCTGACTGTGAAAGTATCAGGCATGTTTGTCTTATAATAATAATAATAATAATAATTTCATATGTAACCATTTTGCTAAAATTAAGCTTCACACAACAGCTGTGGCTGTGTTTGCGACCTGACCTTTCTTTATCCTGTGGGAGGGAAGAATTTAGAAAGTTGCGTGATGCTGTGGAGAGCCCCCAGTTGCAGTAGTTCATGGATCATGTGTGATATTCATCCAGCCAGGGGAACGATCGCAAAACGTTCGCAGCGCTGTATACAGCACAGCTCTCAACACCTGTTTAACCGGTGGCATTTGTTTTTCTAACAACCTTGCAAAGATGCAAAGTAGTGTTGTAGTCAAGACCGCCCAAACCGAGAACAAGTCAAGACCAGAGTTTACCGAGACAAGACCAAGACTTTTGGGGGCTGAGACCAAGTTGAGACCAAAACCGGGGGAGGGCAAGAACGTGTCAAGACCAAGACCAGTTCCCCACATTACATGACACACAATAAAATGTGGAAGGAGATCATAGGTGCTTCTCAAATTGATCTGAAAGATCCACATTCCCATAAAAAACACCCACATACAAACACTAAGAGCTGAAATCAACGTAAGCGTCTTTATTAAACACTCCTTTTCCATGCTTACCATAGCTTAACACAGCTGTTAATGGTTACAACATTTTTTAAATTAGGGTTATTGGTTGCATTTGAAGCAATTTTACATCCAATCAAAGTAAGGATGTTAACAAATAAATCAGACAATGCAAAAGCAATTTATTGATATTCCCAAAGTTATGGTCTTAAAATAAAATCCTGAGTCCTCAATGTCCGAGACAAGACCAAGTACAAATGCAGTCGAGTCCAAGACGATACCAAGACCATCAAAAAGTGGTCTTACGACCGGTCTCGGTACATTCTGCAGCTTTAGTGGACTGTCGGGTGCACAGCCAGTAACACTTTCTCTCAGTGATCGTTTTGATCCTGAGAGCGTGGCTTTGCTGTGTGTCAGTCTGGTGTGACAGTCATCATCCGTCTGCCCATCGTCAGGTCTGCTCTTCAGTGATTTGGACTTGATGTATTTCTTGTTGACGATGAATGGCGTAGTTATTCTTTTTCCCCATGAGACACCTACAGTGCAATGTAATAATGTGCCTTTACCTTTACTAACATACCTCGTTTAAGATCAATATGAAATGTAAGTTCCTTTTATAGGTGAGAGCAAACAACAGTGAGGCATCTTATTTCTGTATAACCTGACAAAGTCCTCCGCTGAGATCTGAAAGTTCTCGGAAAACAGTTTAAACCACAAACTTGCTTCACTTTTCTTCAATCTGTTGCAATGTTGCTGTAAAACAAGCATACATGCAGTCTCAGCTAAGGCCAAAGCAAAGCTCTGTCATATTTCTCATCCAGGATGTCTCTCAGTAGGCTTAATCACCATGGAAACATTTGTTAATTATCGGTCGTGATAGTGATTCAAAATAACTATAATACTAAAATGTACCACAAGTGAAAAGCTTGCCTGTACAAGTAACCACTGTGCTGGAAAATGCGCCCACACTGCTAGAAAATAAACTTTTACAGTATTCTGTACCTAAACAAACAAGATAACTGTGGAATAATAAGTTAATAAAATCTATTACAATTACGGTTTGAGCCACAAACCCCCCAAACACACTGACATGTCAACTGTACCCTACTCAACTGCCATTATAAATCACAACTGATTTGTTTTGCATTGGTCACTACATTACTACACTCCTGAGTGGAGCTGTATGGGCAGACAATTGTTGTGTCTCTGGACTAAGCTTTCCTGTGAAGTTATTGTTTGCAATACAGTGAGGCGCTGCATTTTTGCAGTTGCATGGGATCCTCACAACAAGTGGAATGCCCTTTGTGTCTGAAAATATTGATTATTTTAGTGTGTAAACAAGGCCATAATGCTTAGCACAAAGCAACGTCCCTCCCTGTTTTGACTTTTAATGATGCAGATGCTGTAGAGTCGACGAGCTATATTAATATAGTACTATAGGGATCTATTGCTAGACCAGGGTTACAGTATATTAATGCCACTTCATTTGAAATAAAGACCACATCCACTGACATCATAAAGACATTTTTTTTTCATGGCAAATGCCATATTTCTGAGCTATTTCAGCTATATTATGATCATTCTGTGAAATGGGACAAGGAGATCATTTATTGCATCCTTAATCTGTTTTGCATTTTGCCTGGGCCCTCTAGAAAAGAAAGCTACTGTTTGTCAACTAAAAGTTAATATGACGCAGGCTAAATGTAACGAGGGGCATTATTAGCACTGCAGCCTGCTGAAATACAACTCCTCAGCCGAGCAGCTTAATACTTACTACTACTTACTACGGCATATTAGCAGAAAATCTACCATGTCTCAGATCAGAGTTCAGAGCATAAACAGATCACTGTTACATTAACTGTGAGCTGTTTGAAACCTTTTGTAACATAGCCTAATTAATATTTTACACTCCAACCCTGGAGTGATAAGGGCTGCACAAAGTTACACATGCACAAAGTTACACATGCATGCACACACATACACTCAGATAAAATAGAGCTGCCACTTCATCTTACACGTGCTTACTTCATGCAGTTGCACAATTCCCTCCGTGTGTGTGTGTGTGTGTGTGTTTGTGTATAAATTGTCCACAACAAGCAAGTCGAAAAAGCTTATGTTTGTGATGGTCATTTTAAAATGTATTAATCCTTTCATTAGCCTTTCCCACACATGACTGTAGTTAGGGTGCATGTTGCCGTTACATCTTGCTTAGTTGTGTTTTAACTGACTTTGTGTCTGAACATTTGTTGATTTCCCCACTTGTTTTCAGCCGCCTTCATTTCCTTTTCACACTTGCATCCTTTCACGTCTGACTGTAAAGAAATGTGTACTTAATGCTGTTTTTGTTTTCCTCTAGGTATCTAAAATGGTGGTACAAGAAGACCCAGGTAGAAAAGAAAGCTCCATTCATTGACATGTTTCGTGCCCAACCCCTGCGTCAAATATATGGTGAGTTCAGGTCTGAATTTGAGAGGGACAAGTGGTCTAACAAGGACATATTATTTAAATAAATAAATATTTTATATAAATATATTCCAGCGTAATTCTGATCAATAATGGACCAGACCCTAATTTTTGTTAAGGCCTTAAAAGCAATTTAAATGAACTGAATATGCATTTTGGGGTTCAAAGCCTTACTAATATTAATATTGTAACATGATGGGTAAAATTTTGTAATGTCAGTGCTCTAATGGTGCCTTCAGACCAAAAGCAAAGCGAGCATTCGGGGCGGTGAGTTTACATACAAAGTCAATGCAAAGATGCGTAGAACCGCGATTTCCTGTCGGGGGCGGGGCCGGCGACGCGAAGGCATTCGCTTGACGCTGAGTCGTGATAACCTGTCAATGTTGAGATTGTCCGTACGTCACCAATGGCTTCAGACCATTGTGCGGAGAAGGCCAGGCAAAGCGGGCGATTGAAAATTTGCTGTCCGGCGAAGAGCTGCTAAACTTAGGAGAGAGGAGTAGGGAGCAGCGCTCCAGCTTTTGGACAAAAACAACCGTAGTCGGACTTGATTTTGCTCTAACAACTACGCCGTTTGCTCGTTGAGTGGATTAAATTTGCGTTAGGTCTGAATGCCGCATTACAAACACAAAGATGTTCCTCTCATATATTTTTATATTATCCATTAATCTGCTCACCCCCACACTGTTTCTCCAAGTTGACACTATAATCTAATTTGCAGGGGCTCCACTTGGCGGTATAGGAGGAGGAACCATCACGAGAGGTTGGCGGGGGGAATTCTGCAGATGGCAACTTAACCCTGGGATGTACCACTACAAAACTATGACAGCAAACCAGGTATACTGGATCTGAAATAAACTGAGACTTGTGTGAAAACATCCTACATCATAAAGAGCAACATAGTTAAATGATTATTATCTGGTTTTATATATTTTGGCCCCTTTACGTCCTGTGTTATTGCTGACTTCTTTGAATTGTCTTTTAACAAAGTCCAACTTTCCTTCTCCTACTCCCTGGTAAGCCACAATTTACTTTAGTGATAATACTCACTTATCTCTACACTTATGTGGGGCTACTTTAGGTGTCATAAAAACTTCAGCTGTAAGTTTATCACTATCTTGGTTTATAGGCTCTGTCCCTATTAAGTCCCAGCCAACTGCTGAAGAAAAAATAAACCTTTATAACACGGTTAATGGAGAATGGATATATTTTGTTCTTTGATGGTGGTATTTTCCTATTCGCATGAGTAACTGGGCAAGTGTAAACAATAAAACGTCTATCACATCTATTGTGGAGGAGATACCAGATTATTTACAATGGCCTGACTAAACTATAATGAAGTGCATGTTGTGTTCTGAAAGGGTGTGACAGCAGATGCTCTCTTTGTCCCTGGAAAATACTGCTCTCTTGCCATTTCTCTCATCACTGTAGTGCTCTCCACATGAAAGCAAAACCAAAAGCAGTTTGCACATTCAACTTTAAGGAAGTTTAATCTTTAAAAAAAGTCAATTACACACTTATTAACTTGACTAATATCTCATGTCTCATCTCCTGCACATAAAGGATAAAAACCATCACTGTGTTCACATGTCATTTTACCTACTTTTCTTTTTCTTAGTTCACAGTGTGCTTGCGTCGCGGGGGGCAAACTGTTTACCAGCAGGTGCTATCTGTAGAGCGTCCTCCCACATTACAAGGCTGGAACTGGGGCTACTGCGGAGAGTATGCCTTCTATCATGCCTTGTACCCCCGCGCCTGGACAGTCTACCACCTGCCGGGACAGAATGTCACCTTAACCTGCAGACAGATTTCCCCAGTCATCCCCCACGACTACCAGGTAAGTTAGGCTTCCCTGGATGTCATAAAGTCCAAGAGAGGTCCAATACTTTTGTCAGACCTTTGCAGTTTCAACAGGCTTTGAATATTCTTTAAAATTTCAGGATTTGAGAAAATAAAACGCATCTGTATCAGTTTAAATGTCGTCTAATTTGCCACTGATAGGTTAATTTTTAAACTACTACTAAATATCCTTAATATGTATCTTTGTAGGGCTGGGTGATATGGCCAAAATTTTTTATAACATCCGATATTGATAATTATCTTTACCTTACCTTTATATTATTTCTTTCAAGTTTAAAGGCAGATTTTTGCTCCTGAGTAAAAACTGAAGAAACCAGATGGTTAATTGTTTATGGTCAGAACAAACACTTAATGCCAAACAGTGGATCACATTTGTTATGTTGCTATTGAGGAAAATTATATGACAATAATTATCATTATTGTTTTATCACCCAGCTCTGTATCTTGGTGACAAAGCTTTAAACATTCAAATCCAAGGCATCCGTATCAAGATTGTTATTTATGTTTAAAATGACGATTGGCCAAAATATTGTTATCAGACTTATTTAAAGATCCTAAATAATGATATCGGTATCTGCCTAAAAAAATCCAGTATCAGTTGGGCTATAGTTGAGACATATAATTATGACATGTCATGGCTTGCCCTTAACAAATCAATTTCATTTGAACCCAAAAAATAAAAATGAAGTTGCTGAAAAGCATGCACGCTTTTTTAAAATAAACGGGGGAACCCCTGGACCATGATTAATGTTGAACCTGCTGTATATAACAGCTAATTGTTAGCCAAGCAATCAGATTAATAAGATGTATCCTAATTACAGTACACTGATAATCCCTCAATTAAGAAAAAAAAGAATCCACACAAAGAAAACCTAATAAGAAGGTTAAAACTAATGCTCAGTGTCCAGACTCAAGGATCACTCTAAAAACAGTCTTTTCTCCTTTTTTTGGATGACTATTAATCCTTTCTCATGCTGACAATTCCACATGTGGATATTTAAAAAAACAAAACAACAAAAAATATAATTTTATTTTATTCTAACAAGCTCCTTGAATACTTTTATTTTTTTTTGCAGTTGCGAGTAGAAGCTAAGTTAGTCATTTGGTTGCTTGGTGCCCAAAACATCACAAAAAGTTTTGGTGATATGGCACCTGATCGCTGCAACACTGAAAAATATACGTGAGAAACACTCAGTTGTGTTAAAGACACATTTTAGATGTTGTATGTTGACATGGTGGTTCTACAAAACGTCTTCCACCACTTGTCTCCTTCCTCTAAGGACTCTAGTCTCCCAGTGGCAGTATTTGTGTGGGACATAGAGAACAAGAATGACTACGCTCTGGACGTCTCCATCATGTTCACCATGGTCAACGGGTCGGGACACAAGGACGACAAGAGCGGGGGACACTGGAATGAACCATTCCACCTGGAGAAGGAGGGGGAGGCGGTGTCTGGGGTCTTGCTACATCACTGTGCTACAGTGAACCCTTACACTCTGTGCATCGCAGCCCGAGAAAAGGTTTGATTGACACGCTTATGATTTTAGCAGCTTCAAGGTTTTTTGCAGTAGGTTGTAGGAAGCTGCACAAGCAGTTCCCAGGGAATAAACAGGATTTGTAACAATAGTCTCTGTTATCAAGAAGTGGATTTATAATAATCAGCTGGTTTTGAAATCTGTGGTGTTAATGAGCATTAGGTCTTAGATTTACTGAGCGTGTGTTTGTGTGCACATTTTAACAGCCTGACAGGGAGGTGAGCCACCAGACAGCATTCAGCCCAAAGGGAACCTGCAGCGGACTGTGGAGTGACCTCCTCAATGACGGACGACTGGATTCTCCTACAGGTCAGCGTGCGGACGGATGAGACAGATTCGTAATGGAACAGATGTCTAAAGTCGTGGTTTACTTAACATGAAGCAGTAACATAATGAATAAAGTGGAATAAAAGAAAATGTTGCACGGTAAAACACTAACAATATCAATATGTCACATGATGAGCATTAAACATTGTAAGCAGACCACCAAACCACTCGGTGCTTTTAAAGTAAGTTGTACCTGTGCTCACATCCCTTGGTGTCCTCTCCTCCCTCTCTGACTTACCTCTGCAGGATCCAGCCCACTGACGGCTAAGGGAGAGAAGGTGGCGGCAGCGTTGGCTGTGGGCTGCTCAGTGCTGGCTCAAAGTCATAACAGCCTGGAGTTCTGCCTAGCCTGGGACATGCCAAAAATCACCTTCGGCTCTAGGGAGAGGGAACACATCAGGTAAATCCAACACAAAGGAAACGCACATACAGCATGTTACTTTGCACAAATATAAAGAACAGACTAGTGTTGTCTTGTTAAGTGTCTGCCATGTATAATTTATAGTGACCAAAACACAGCAGGCCTACCTTATTGCAAAAATAAATAATAGTGACGACCAAACAAGACATACTTTCAATGCTGTGTTTTATTTCAAAGTCTCAGGCTCAACTGAAACGGACACTCCTCTCATTGAAATAGTGATGTTATGCAGTGAAGAATTAGACTTACGATACATTTAGATACAAGACTTTAAATTAATCAAAATACAAGGTTTTCTGCTTTTATTTGTTGCACTTGTTAATGAACATGCAGTGTCTACAGGTGCTGGTCATATAATTAGAATATCATCAAAAAGTTGATTTATTTCAGTATTTCCATTCAAAAAGTGAAACTTGGATAATATATTCATTCATTACACACAGACTGATATATTTCAAATGTGATGATTCATTTAATTGTGATGATTAAAACTGACAACTAATGAAAATCCCAAATTCAGTATCTCCGAAAATTTGAATATTACTTAAGACCAATACAAAAAAAAGGATTTTTAGAAATGTTGGCCAACTGAAAAGTATGAACATGAAAAGTATGAGCATGTACAGCACTCAATACTTAGTTAGGGCTCCTTTTGCCTGAATTACTGCAGCAATGCGGCGTGGCATGGAGTCGATCAGTCTGTGGCACAGCTCAGGTGTTATGAGAGCCCGGGTTGCTCTGATAGTGGCCTTCAGCTCTTCTGCATTGTTGGGTCTGGCGTATCGCATCTTCCTCTTCATAATACCCCATAGATTTTCTAAAGGGTTAAGGTCAGGTGAGTTTGCTGGCCAATTAAGAACAGGGATACCATGGTCCTTAAACCAGGTACTGGGAGCTTTGGCACTGTGTGCAGCTGCCAAGTCCTGTTGGAAAATGAAATCTGCATCTCCATAAAGTTGGTCAGCCGCATGAAGTGCTCTAAAACTTCCTGGTAGACGGCTGCGTTGACCTTGGACCTCAGAAAACACATTGGACCAACACCAGCAGATGTCATGGCACCCCAAACCATCACTGACTGTGGAAACTTTACACTGGACTTTAAGCAACGTGGATTCTGTGCCTCTCCTCTCTTCCTCCAGACTCTGGGACCTTGATTTCCAAAGGAAATGCAAAATTTATTTTCATCAGAGAACATAACTTTGGACCACTCAGCAGCAGTCCAGTCCTTTTTGTCTTTAGCCCAGGCGAGACGCTTCTGACGCTGTGTCTTGTTCAAGAGTGGCTTGACACAAAGAATGCGACAGCTGAAACCCATGTCTTGCATACGTCTGTGCGTGTTGGTTCTTGAAGCACTGACTCCAGCTGCAGTCCACTCTTTGTGAATCTCCCCCACATTTTTGAATGGGTTTTGTTTCACAATCCTCTCCAGGGTGCTGTTATCCCTATTGCTTGTACACTTTTTTCTACCACATCTTTTCCTTCCCTTCGGCTCTCTATTAATGTGCTTGGACACAGAGCTCTGTGAACAGCCAGCCTCTTTAGCAATGACGTTTTGTGTCTTGCCCTCCTTGTGCAAGGTGTCAATGGTCGTCTTTTGGACAGCTGTCAATCAGTAGTCTTCCCCATGATTGTGTAGCCTACAGAACTAGACTGAGAGACTATTTAAAGGCCTTTGCAGGTGTTCTGAGTTAATTAGCTGATTAGAGTGTGGCACCAGGTGTCTTCAATATTGAACCTTTTCACAATATTCTAATTTTCTGAGATACTGATTTTGGGGTTTTCATTAGTTGTCAATTATAATCATCAAAATTAAAAGGAATGAACACTTGAAATATATCAGTCTGTGTGGGATGAATGTATACATTATACAAGTTTCACTTTTTGAATGGAATTACTGAAATAAATCAACTTTTTGATGATATTCTAATTATATGACCGACACCTATATGTGCTGCCGGCATCAGTATGTGGCTGTTTTGTTTCCAGGAGATATACCCGTTACTTTGGGACCAAAGGGGATGCGTCCCCCTCGCTAAGTCACTACGCACTAACAAACTACAGACAGTGGGAGAAGAGCATTGAGGAGTGGCAAAGACCCATTCTACAGGACAGGTAGTTCACAACTCTGAAAGGTCTGGAGGTTAAATGAGAAATCAGTAATGTAAACATCCTGTTTCCAGCTATGAAATGAATATAATTGATTATCCTTTCACCTTGGCTTGTACTTTCACTTGTGCATCACAGTTCTCTGCCATCCTGGTACAAGTCAGCCCTGTTCAACGAGTTGTACTTTGTTGCGGATGGAGGGACGGTGTGGACGGAGCTACCAGAGGACGCTGATATCAGTGGTGGTGTGCGCAGCGAGGACGGGGGGCTGCCAGCTCAGCCTGCGGTCATCAAGGAGTATGGCCGTTTTGCATACTTAGAAGGTAAATGCAAGGGGGCAGGTGTTGGTCTGCAAGACTAGACATGGCAGTTTAGAGCTGAATAATTGGTTATTAATCAATTAGTTAATTGGCAACGACTGATAATTGATTTCAGTTTCAGTTAATTTTTCACGGCAAAATGCCAAATATTCCCAGTTTCCACCTTCTCTAATGCGAGGACTTTCTGCTTTCTCTGTTTTTATATCATTGCAAACTGAATATCATCAGGTTTTGGACTGTTGGTCAAAAAAAGCAAGAGATTTGAAGACATAACCCTGAATTCTGGGAAATTATAACGGGGATTTATCACTATTTTCTGACATTTTAAAGACAAATTGATTTTTCTAAATGAAGGTCTAGAAACTATTAATGGCATACATTGATTGTAGTTTTACAACTAATAAATAATGTGACATAATCTGATATAAAAGTGAAGTAAATGTGTGTACACAGAGTAACAATAACAAAATACTACATACCAATAGAATCCGCAAATTGGGTTTCTTCCCCTTGTTTTTCCGGTCCTTCAAGTATTAACTTGCAAAGCAAAAGTCACTGCCGAAATTATGAACTGATAGTTCTGACTGCGACAATACATACTGAAAAAGCAGAAAGATCTGCCTATACGTGTTTCATGACCCACATCACTAAGCTGTTATTGTTTTCCCAGGTCAGGAGTACAGAATGTACAACACCTATGATGTCCACTTCTACGCTTCCTTCGCCCTTATCATGCTGTGGCCCAAACTCGCCTTGAGTGTGCAATATGATATTGGTGAGTGCTGTCTTATCAATTATCTAAGCATGCTTATTTAATAAAGAGCATTACCAAAGCCGTGTTTTACCGCATTAATCTCTCCTCAGCTGGCAGTGTAGTTCAGCAGGACCCAACAGAGAGGCTACATCTGATGAGTGGGCGGTATTCTCCTGTCAAGGCCAAAAATGTGGTGCCTCACGATATAGGAGACCCAGGTAGGAGAAAGACGATCTCATTAAATACAGAGGGGGTGAAATTACTACCTTTTAGGTAGCCATATGTTAGAGGTCATTTCTGTGCTGAATGAAAACTTGCATGAAACCACTCATTTTAAATAGTCTCTCAGTACAACATGATGACTCTGTCTCTAGATGACGAGCCATGGCAGAGGGTGAATGCTTACCTCATCCATGACACTGCAGACTGGAAGGACCTGAACCTGAAGTTTGTCCTGCAGGTCTACAGAGACTTTCATCTCACCCAGGACAATCAGTACCTGCGGGACATGTGGCCCATCTGCCAGGTATAACTGACCAATGTCGTCTTAACTCTACTGCATTTGAGAGTTGATCAATTCAGACATGAGTCATGTCTTCACAAACTTCATTTGTCACATGCTCAGACTGTTGTTCCACTCAGCTGTCTTGCTCTGTTTGGTCTGCTAGGCGGTGGTGGAGTCAGAGATGAAGTTCGACCTGGATGGAGATGGACTGATAGAGAACTCTGGATATGCTGACCAGACCTATGACGGTTGGACGGTGACTGGACCAAGGTGAGAGGATGACAAAACATGACAGTCCAGGAATAAACACTGAGTCCAGGGCCTAAAACAAGTAATTTTTCTGTGCCTGAAACGACAAAGATGGAGGGTAGGGGGCAAGAGCGTAATTTTGTGTTGAAAAGTTGACGAGGACATAGGGACTCAGATTAGGGGTGTGACATACACTTAGTTCACACGAGGAAACACAATTCTGGGTTCACAAGAAGATAATTGTACACTGGTTTGATAAAACATTCAATGTGTAAATATATGGTTGGGGGCCGAAGGGGCCTCCCCCAGAAGATTTTGAGCATTAAACAGTTCATTTCCTGCATTATAGTAACATTTTCTGCCACCATTTATAATCAGTGGTTGAAGTGGAAAATACAGGTGCTGGGCAATACAGCCGAAAATTCTATCACGATAAAAAATTTCACATCATTCAATATCGATTATTCTTATGATAAATGTCAAATCATTCTAAGGCAGATTTTTGCTCCTGAGTGAAAGTTGAAGAAACCAGATGGTTAGTTGTGGTTTTAAACTATTTTTATGGTCAGAACAAACACTTAATGCCAAACAGTGGATCCAGTGTTTCCCATATGTTCATTTATTTGTGGCGGCACGCCACAATATCAACGTTGATCGCGACATTGATTTTAAAATTTGTTTTTTAAACTAGGTCTATTTAAAATCGTATTTGATTGCAGAGTGCCGTAGCGCATTCGCGCAGCACATCCTCTCACTTGTCCCTCTCTCACGAACACCGCTGCATAAAACTGTCCAACACAACGCTGTTGGCACCCAGCTTAAAAAAAGTTTTAACTATATTATAACTTTTTTTTAAGCTAATAAGAACAGCTAAGTTAACGTTAGAATACAGCTGGGTTGTCGAGGTTAGCACGTTGTTTATAGCTGGTGCCACTGTTACACTGTCATTCTGTGGGAAACATTGGGATCACTTAACAAATCTGAGGTAAAACATTCAAAACAATTAAGTAAATTTCAATTAAGTAATCTTTTTTCATTCCCTTTTCCCCAAAGTGCTGATTTGTTTGTGATTCAAATGAATTAAATCACTTGTTAAACAACAGCGGTTAAAAAAATATGCGAGAATATTTTCCACAGACATATTTATATATTGTGTTCTGTCCGTGTGGGTTTTTCTCTGGGTGCTCTGGCTTCCTCCCACTGTCCAAAGACATGCAGACTAGGTTAATTGGTGTCTCCAAAATAGGTGTGGATGTGAGTGTGAGTGGTTGTTTGTCTATGTGTGGCCCTGCGATGGACTGGTGACGTGTCCAGGGTGTACCCCGCCTTTCGATGTACGCTGGAATTGGTTCCTGCCCCCCGCAACCCTGTACACAGGATACGTGGTTGATGACAGATTGATGGAAATCCTTTCAACAAATTGGGAACCTTGAAGCAATTAATTCTTGGCTTTCAAAAAAATTTAACAACTCTAGTGAGCACTCCTAAAAGAAAGAGAAAGAAATAAACAGTGATAATGTTGTGGTTGCGGACAGAAGGGACCCAAATGGAACGCTTCTGGTTTTAAAGAGATTTATTAAGGGAAAAAGGGGAGTCGAGGGGCTGGAGGAAAGGGGGGGAGGGAGTTGGACACCGGCAGACGTGGGCACGGAGGACCAAGGAGCTGCCGGGGTGGGAGAGGTTCATGCGAGAGGGCTCAGGGGAACAGGAGGCCGAGGTGGGAAGGTATGTGGTGGCTGGTGGACAGGCGAGGAGCGAGGGGGAGCCAGGGGAGCGCTGTGGAGGTGAGGCGAGGGGAGAACGCAGGTAGGCGAGCCCAGCTGACTGACTGGTAGACGGAGGTGAGTGGACCTGGTGGGGAAAACAGAAAAACCAGACCGACAGGGTTAGTTCAGGGAAGCAGTTGAAGCGAGATATCAAGGAAGACAAGAGCTTGAATATAGTGGTAGCACCAAGTCTGGAGCGACGACGATTAAGCAGGGGTTGAAATACTGGTAGAGATGAGGCTGATTGCTGGTAGGTGTGGCTGGCAAAGGTGGAGGTTGATGAGACGCAGGTGTGGATTGTCAGCCGGGCTCCGGAGCGGAGAGAGGGAGAGCACACACAGAGGGAGAGGGGAGGAGAGACCGAGAGAGAGGCAACTCAGGGGAAAACAGAATGCGAAAAAAGGAGGAAAAAACAGGACACTCACCATCAGCTGGGCTGCCACCACAACAGATAATTGCATTTATTACTTCAAGTCTGTATGGCAGGGCGAAGGACAATTGAGTTTATTGAGTCTATAGCTACGGCGCTTCTCTAAATCATAGCCGAGGTTGACGTCAGAGGCTGTAGCAAAGATTAAAGGCTTTGGGTTCATGTTTACAGTAATGCAACAGACTTGGTACAAAACTTTTCAAAACTGGGAAATTAACTTCAAATTCATGTTAATCTTTGCTTCTTGAATCTTATGATTCAATAAAATCTGAATTAAAGCAGGGAGGGTTGTATTGGTGGTGACCTGCATTTGCATCTGTGAGAGAAGGAACAGTTAGTTAGTAAACCTATTTTTCTGGTGTCATTTTGTTTCTTTGTATGTTACAGTGCGTACTGTGGTGGGCTGTGGTTGGCGTCCCTATGTGTGATGTGTAAGATGGCCAGGCTGGTGGACAACGAGGACACATACAAACGTTACAGAGACATCCTGGACAGGGGCTGTGCTGCTTTTGACAAACTGCTGTGGAACGGTAAGTTTAAACACCTGTCTCTTGTGTTCAGTTTGGAAAGGGTTCACTCATTTGGATTTAGTTGCAGCAGTTGATAAAAGGAAATCCGTAAAAATGCTGCCACTGTTCAGTTTAAACAAAGTTATTTCCAAAACTAAATTGATTGAGACTTGAAATGCCTTACCTTTATTTCCTTTTATGTTTAGGCAAGTACTACAACTATGACAGCAGCGGGAGAGACCTTTCTAATAGTGTAATGTCTGACCAGTGTGCTGGCCACTGGTTCCTGAAAGCGTCCGGGCTGGGAGAGGGAGACTACCAGGCAAGTTAATACACTGCTCAAAAAAAATAAAGGGAACACTAAAATAACGCATCCTAGATCTGAATTAATGAATTATTCATTAATAATACTCCTTTCTTTACATATTTGAATGTGCTGACAACAAAATCACACAAATTATCAATGGAAATCAAATTTATCAACCCATGGAGGTCTGGATTTGGTGTCACACTCAAAATCAAAGTGGAAAACCACACTACAGGCCGATCCAACTTTGATGTAATGTCCTTAAAACTAGTGTGTGGCCTCCACGTGCCTGTATGATCTCCCTACAACGCCTGGGCATGCTCCTGATGAGGTGGCGGATGGTCTCCTGAGAAATCTCCTCCCAGACCTTGACTAAGGCATCCGCCAACTCCTGGACAGTCTGTGGTGCAACGTGGCGTTGGTGGATGGAGCGAGACATGATGTCCCAGATGTGCTCAATTGGATTCAGGTCTGGGGAACGGGCGGGCCAGTCCATAGCATCAATGGCTTCCTCTTGCAGGAACTGCTGACACACTCCAGCCAGTAGTAGTATTGTCTTGCATTAGGAGGAACCCAGGGCCAACCACACCAGCATATGGTCTCACAAGGGGTCTGAGGATCTCATCTCGGTACCTAATGGCAGTCAGGCTACCTCTGGCGAGCACATGGAGGGCTGTGCGGCCCCCCAAAGAAATGCCACCCCACACCATTACTGACCCACCGCCAAACTGGTCATGCTGGAGGATGTTGCAGGCAGCAGAACGTTCTCCACGGTGTCTCCAGACTCTGTCACGTCTGTCACATGTGCTCAGTGTGAATCTGCTTTCATCTGTGAAGAGCACAGGGCGCCAGTGGCGAATTTGCCAATCTTGGTGTTCTCTGGTAAATGCCAAACGTCCTGCACGGTGTTGTAAGCACAACCCCCACCTGTGAACGTCGGGACGTCATACCACCCTCATGGAGTCTGTTTCTGACCGTTTGAGAAGACACATGCACATTTGTGGCCTGTTGGAGGTCATTTTGCAGGGCTCTGGCAGTGCTCCTCCTACTGCTCCTTGCACAAAGGCAGAGGTAGCGGTCCTGCTGCTGGGTTGTTGCCCTCCTACGGCCTCCTCCACGTCTCCTGATGTACTGGCCTGTCTCCTAGCAGCGCCTCCATGCTCTGGACACTACGCTGACAGACACTGCAAACCTTCTTGCCACAGCTCGCATTGATGTGCCATCCTGGATGAGCTGCACTACCTGAGCCACTTGTGTGGGCTGTAGACTCCGTCTCATGCTGCCAGTAGAGTGAAAGCACCGCCAGCATTCAAAAGTGACCAAAACATCAGCCAGGAAGCATAGGAACTGAGAAGTGGTCTGTGGTCACCACCTGCAGAACCACTCCTTTACTGGGGGTGTCTTGCTAATTGCCTATAATTTCCACCTGTTGTCTATTCCATTTGCACAACAGCATGTGAAATTGATTGTCAATTAGTGTTGCTTCCTATGTGGACAGTTTGATTTGACAGGAGTGTGATTGACTTGGAGTTACATTGTGTTGTTTAAGTGTTCCCTTTTTATTTTTTCGAGCAGTGTACATGCATGAGCCCCCCCAATCTTTCACCCATATTAAGCAATAAACACTGAGGTTGAGTTTTTTTTGTAGAGGAGTTTTTTTCCCCTGACAGAGCAGTACAAAATGACAAGCAATTAGAAAAAGTACCAGCTGGCCTACAATGGATGTGAAGTATAACAGATACTGATATTAATATATGGAGAGTTTAAAATAAATTACTATGTATTGGCTATATCTCGTTACCAGATTTTTAAAACAAAAACACAATTACAAGATTGTTTATATTAAGTACTGTGACCAAGATACTTGCTGATTTGGAAATTTTATAAAGTAAAAATCAACTTATGATGCTCTCAGCCGTGTTTCTTAAGTACCCTTAAACGTGGTTTGGATTTCTGTACTGCAATTTCTTGTCTCTCTTGACATGTACAACAATACTTTATATGCAATAAGCTAATATTAGCCAGTATATCTGCCCAGCTATAATTGGCAGAAATGTACTGAGCACTTGCCAAATTGAAGGTTAATATTGAACAGTGCCACCAAGAGTTAAATTGTGCACAGTACATAGTTTTTTCTTCATGACCTAACAACTGTTCCTTTCTCTGACGAGCTGAAAACATTAAAGATGTTTTCAGATTAGGACATGTATCAAAGCTTTGAACATCACTTCCTCTCTCCCTCCAGGCTTTTCCAAAAGATAAAATCCAGAGCGCACTAAAATCTGTCTTTGACTTGAATGTAATGAGCTTCGCTGGGGGCCAGATGGGGGCAGTTAATGGCATGCGCCCTGAAGGAGTGCCTGACCGGTCCAGTGTCCAGTCAGATGAGGTCTGGATTGGAGTAGTGTATGGACTGGCAGCCACTATGATTCATGAGGTATGTGTGCGTGTGTATGTTAGTATATTTAGGTATAATATTTGTGGCATATCATACTCTCATTTTGTTAAAATGTTGTCGTCAGTGCAGTGTTGTTGAGCTCTTCTGTCTTTCTCACTACATCTGGTCATTTTTTATCCTCTTAAGTTGATTTTGTTTTCTGTCACATATGCAGCTGAGGAGTGACTTGAAAGTGTACTGACTGCGATATACGATAGGTTACTGAATTGTAAAGTTTGAGTAGGTATCAATTATTAACAAGTGCCAAGACATCAGAAAAGTTGAACCCACTCTTTTTAAGATGCTAAAACAATTCTAACGTTGCCGTTATTGCATGGTTAAGAGTCTTGTAATATTTTAATCCTAAGTTTTGCATTGTTAACAATCTGTTAAAGGAATAGTTATACATTTTGGGAAATATTTCCTGGGGTCTTGTAAATGACTCCGGACTCCAGTTTCATATTATAGGGACAGATATGACTGTGATATCAAATCTTCTCACCTAACTCTGCAATAAATTGGCTGATTGCATTGATTGTGACATTAAGTAAAATACAGCCTCACGCCTCTGTGGCTGTCGGTTTCTTTCAGGGTATGCAGGAGGAGGGTATGCGCACGGCAGAGGGTTGCTACCGGACTGTGTGGGAGAGGCTGGGCATGGCCTTCCAGACTCCTGAAGCCTACTGTGAGAAGGGAATCTACCGCTCTCTGGCGTACATGAGGCCGCTGAGCGTCTGGGCCATGCAGCTAGCCCTGAACACTTCACAGAAGGATCAGATCACATCGGCACAAACTGGAACCACAGATGGAGAACAAGGACATGATCTGAGAGAAAATCAGAGCTAGGACTTGAGCCATCAGACGGGTGTGATTTAGGTACAGTGGGTTCCTCCAAAGATGACCTTCAAACTCTCCTGCAGCCACCACCCTCATATGTAGGGCTCCATTTGATCGGTCACAGTCCTTGAATTTGATTACCTACCGTTTGTTCTGCCGTTAATTATTTATGGTTGACAAAGTCAGTAGCCACTGTAGATCATGGTATTGTTGGGCAAGAGGTTCTTCAAGAGACTGGAAATGGTTCCTGATTCTTAGAAGTTGTGCAGTGTTGGGTTGGTAGCCAGGCAATGTCAAGATCATATCAAAAACTGACCTTTTGTTTCAGCAACATATTGTCTATTTGCACACACATACAGACACATGCGAGCACTACATTTTACAGTCGTCAAAAATAATGTTTGCATATTTGGAAAAAGTTTATATGCTATTTGAGGACTGTGTGATGTATGTATTGTCTGCAACAGTTGAGATTTGAACAATTTCTTTATCAGAAATATAAAAAAAACATTAAAGATTTTCTTTTTCCGCTTAATAAATTTGAATTCTGTATTAACTATGTAATATGCGATCAGTAGTGTCGGAAATTAAGTCTTAAAAAATTACATACAGTATATATAGGTTTTCTTTTTTTAAAATAGCATTTGGTGCCTTGTTGCATGTTGGCCAGATCTACAGTACATTAATGTAGTGGCAACCGTGTTTTAAAATCCAATACACATGACAATCTTGCTGAATAAATGATTAAGATAAAAAAGCTGGTTTGTTGTGTTGTTAATTAAATATCAGTAATTAAGTACAAACAAGTGATGTCTGACCTACTCAGAGACAAAGACATTAATGTTTTACTGTTGTAATGAAATTCAATTAAGGCTTTTACAGTCTACGAGGACATAAGAGGTCATTGAAGTTAAAGTTACACTTATCAGATAAAAGACAGGTCAAAAAGGTTAACGAGTCTGGCTGTTAACTGAAAGGTTGGTGGTTCAAGCCCCCCCAGGGAGGCTGGGTTTTGTGCTTAAGTATCCAGGCAACATCAGGAGCAAGGGTCAGAGAAACCAGGAGCAAAAGTAACACTGTGACAGCAGTTTGGCCAAATGAATGGGACACATCATCAGTAGCGGTATATCCTTCTGTCATAGTTGAATAGTAAATATTAATAGGTTATCTAGCTACTTAGTTGTACCTAGATAATGACCAATGCTGGGTCTCTGTAAATATTATTTTAACGTACAGTCTAGATTTGCTCTTATGAAAAGTGCAATGAGATAACTGTTGTGAATTGGTGCTCAATAAAAAATAACTGAATTCAACTGCCAAGGAATAAAGGGATTCATTAGACCTGAAGCCTCTGTCCTGTTGTCTGCATCTGACAATTATTTTTTATTTTTTTTAACCATACCATTACAAAGTATATCTCAGGGAAAGTCATACATAGTTTAATCAATTTCAAATTGATTCATATTATAATATAGGTGAAGCTATGATGTACATGCACTCTACGATATAATCACATCTGTCTTATTGTGCCACCTCCTGGTCACAGGCCTGTACAATAATACAACCACTTTGTTAATAGGTTTAAACAAGTTCTTAAAGCACTGTACAAGACACGTAACATATTGAGCTTTGAACATTCATTTATGACCAATGTCTGTTTACTTTATAAGATACTGCAAGGTTTAGCTACCCCACCCCTTTAACAATTTATCCTTACAGCACATAAGGAAATAAGGCAAACAAGATCATCAACAAGGGGAGACTGTTAAATAAAACACTGTTCGACAAAAATCGTACAAAATGCTTTTTCAATCACAGCGACAAAACAGTGGAATGCTTAAGTGTATTAGTTAAATCAGTCTAAACGTAGTCTATACACCCTGAATGTATTTATTTGTTATCAGTGTTATCACAGTTTTGTTTTTTAAATATCAAAATGTACTGATACACAGAAATAATTTTACAAAGTTTTACATTGAAAACCATAAATAAAATTAACTTTTTGTTTGCATAAACATTAAAATATTAACAGCAAATACCTTATGTAAACATGTGCAATGCATGAAATGATCTGCAGACACATGAAGGTTAAAGCAGCAGAACATGTTGTGTTTTTACTTCAGTTTACTAGCTATAAGCAAGTTAGACAGACAAACCAAAGCTAAAAGTTACCCTGCATTTCCTTAAAGGCAATTTTCCCTCAGCACTCTTATAAAAACCAAAATATCACCAGACTTCAGACAGGCTGAAATATCTCTGCAGCGCTGTTGTCGTTTACCCAAACAAACGCATGCTTGTGGGAGACTGTTGCTAACTTTGTTTGATGCTGGAAAGTATTTGCCGTGAGTTTTTCAAAGCGCTGTAATCAAGCATGTTGTAATACTAACCGTCGGAAATCTTACTATGGTTTATCATTAAGCTGGTAACCACTTCATCCCTAAAACCAATAAATGAAACGTGCATTTCAAGTATGCTTGTGACATCCGTGTCATTCAGCTGCTTAAGGCAACAGTCCAGCATGACTGGTAAAGTAGATCAGGGAGAATCATGGGGAGGAACTGGTTGGCACACTATCTTGGGGAGCGTGCAGACTTTGTGGATCGGCCCAGCCTCTTCCCAGTGGTCTGCCAGGAGCCCCCAGAGCCCATCAACATCCCCACCAGTCGCTGGCAGCTGTCTGTCTACAACAGGGACATCCTTTCCCGCATGGACCATCTAAAGGCCAGCATCACTTCCACGTTTTGGTCCATCTTAAAGATGAACTCAACCAAAAAACAAGACAGTGTAACAGACTTCCATGTACTAATATATACCAGTGTTTCCCAAACATTGATTTATTTGTGGCAGCCTGCCGCAATATCAACGCTGACAGCCACACAGGGCTCAACAATAACGGTGGCCCGATGGCTCTGGGCCAGTAAAACGTAACGTCGGGACAGTTGAACTAGCAACTTTAGTATTTTAAAAAAACTCAATGAAACTCAACATCCTGCAGTTGTTTTGCAGCTCTTGGCGCGCACCAATGTCCAATCAAGAGTTACGTGACGAGAGGTTTTCAAATATTATTTCTCTAATCTCAATCATGCGGCAACCTCTGGGTCGAAAGTGAAACTATGCAGACGGAACTTTAAGCTGCATTCTCTCTAACGGCCAGCAGAGGGCGAGTTCCATTAGAAATAATGGTAAAATGTTGCTACTTCTCAGCTGATTTATTACCTCAGTAAACACTTTTAAATGACTTTATAGTCTCAGTCGCTAGTTTCAGGTCTTCTTCAACACAGCATGATGTCCGTTTAGTATATTATGGTCCTATTTAGGGGAAAATAAACGATAATGCAGCGTATGCTTTTTGATGGGACTACCTTGTGATTGACGGCAACCTGTTCATCAGGATAGAGGCGACTCGTGTCCGCTGCTCTGTGTACATTTTTCATAAATGGCTGTCAGCAGGAGAGCGCGTCATGTTTGAGTCTGTTAGTATGTTTTGTTTTAAAAGTAAATAGTTTTGTTAACCTTTTTATTTTTTTATGATTTTAACTGTGTTTACTGTTTTTACATTTTGGTTTAGTTTATTTTATATGCAGGATGTATTTCATAAACGATTAAACACGATTAAACACAGGAGGGACAGTAAAAATAGTTTTCGTGGGGTGGGGCCAGTTGCAAAAAAGTTTAATGTTGAGCCTTGCCGCCACATATTGATTTTCTTTTTTTTTTTAACCAGGCCTATTTAAAATCGTATCTGAAATAAGGACTCAGATTAGGGGCGTCACGATAGACTTAGCTCACGAGAGGAGATGATACACGATATTGGTGTCACGAGAACAAGACTAGAAGATATTTTAACCCTACTTTATAGAAAACAATTAATGCTAAAATATAAAAGTTGGGGGGTTCAGGTGGTCCTCCCCCCGAAAATTTTGAGCATTAAACATTTGATTTCCTACATTCTGGCAAACCTCTCCGCACCAATTTCTTTTCCTGCATTAATTTATGGTGGAAATGTTTTTATTTATGTAAAAGAGAAACAGAAAATTCAGATGGCAGGTGACAATTCAAATCTAAAAATCTAAAAGAACAGAAAACCAAAAACAAACTGTATCAAGAAGTTGTTAAAGTTACTCACTGGTGCTTCATGTTTTGGGGCCATTTTATAATTAGTAGCTTTATTTTTTTTAGCTTAAGTTAAATTAATAAATAAGTGCAAATTAACTTTTCTCAAAACATTTTCATTTGTTATTTAACATTTCTGGTTGCAAGCTATTCAGAACATTTTTAACAAATGCTTTCAAAAAGTGGTGGGTACAAGACCTGCCCTACTCTGCCTCTGATTGTCTGTCAGGTTTACCGATTAGGAATGACGATTGGTTAGGCATATGCGGCTGTAAATTTGCAAAGATCATGCTAGAGTGGACTCGGTAGATCCACTTCATCATCGGATCTGCACAAATCACGTAGGTGACCCATTTTTGTCTCAAAATGGCGAAACGGTGAAAGGTGCCTGCAATGTCGGAGACTATTAATTATAGCTATATTAATATTAGAATACTGCAGGGTTTTCGAGGTTAGCAGGCTGTACATAGCTGGTACTCAATGCCATAGTTACGCTGTCACTCTGTGGGAAACACTGTAGACTCACAACTACACGTATCAGTTTTGTCATGTCATAACATTGCATACGCAGTTCTTATAAATGTGTGCTGTGAAATAAATCTACATACACTAACTTCTACAAATGATCTGTAAAGCATAATTTTAAACATCACTGTCATTAAATCCCAGATGTTCTAGATGGCAGTTCAGAGGCTGGCCTGCCACAGCAGGGGGACAGCTCTCTGGGTGACCTCCATCAGCAATGAGGTCGGTCAGATTATGACCAGTGTCCTGGACAAGATCAGGGTTTTTCCTGCATAGAGAAATTTTTGCCGCCCAAAGAGGTTTTAGCAAGAGCCCAAGGAAAATCACCAGCGCCAAAATGATCAGAATTGAAGAAGCGTTTCAAATATTCTCCTAATGTGTTTTAATAGCCATTTATCAAACAGCTTTTGAGCAAGCAGAAGATGTTTTGTCTTCCAGCAGTCACCTCTCCTGTCATCCGCAGCGCTGTTTTTTTATTTTTGTAACACATGCAGCTGAAGCAGGATTAATAAACCAGCTGCTGCGTTGGTTTGACTGCGCCTGAACGCTCCACTACGAAGCTCGCGCTACTGGGAGCGATGACTTCCTGTTATTTCTCACAATATAAAAGCAGTTTATGCTCTAAGTGTGCTGGTATTCACCGGTACTGTCACTTTTACATTTTACTCTTTGGTGTACCAGCCCGTGTCCTCATTTCTGCCCACTCCTGTTCCTGTTATCTCCTGCCTTGCTAATCTCTGCAGGGAGATCGGGTGCCTTTCATGCAGCCATGTGCGTTAGCTGCTTGTCACTTTTCGTGAACCGACCAATCACAGCCTGGTGTAGGCGGGGCATTAAAAAAAGGCTGATGCACTACATCAAACTTTAGAAATGTTGACTCGTTCTGTATGCAAGGTTTTTATTATTGACATTTAGTACTTTGCATAAACAAATCAGAGACTGACCACCATGTAGAGCATTTTTCTTGCACAATAATTTAGTAACTGAAAACAAACTTAATGACAAAATTAAACTGCTGTTTTATCCATCTGGAATTAATATTAGGCTACTAATAGTAAGCTATAGTAGCCTATATCATCATGTTAGACAGACTGAGGCACTGGGTGGGGATCTCTGGTA